AACCTGGGGTCCAATGGCTGTGCTAAGTCCCCCGCCCCCACCCTTGCCAACTTCTCCTCTTATTTATCTTTCTTACTTAAAATGAACAATTAGTTTCTTTTGGAGGCACAGGGAGGAAGTGGCTGGGGCCAAGCTGCAGTGTGCATCACTCCTGCACCTAGTTCCCCCTCAGCAGGGACCAAGATGGAAGGAGAGGGCTCCCACCAGCAGTCTCTCACCAGTACTAGTCCCAGGGTGACTGTAGTACCCAGGCCTGTGCTAGGAAAGCACACTTTCCCAACCGCAGTTAAAATGCAAAATATATGCCTGAATGAGCTTCCTACTTCTCATTATCTAGCCTGTGGTATTGACCAGAAGCAGAGATCAGAAGCCTGCTATCATTAGAAGAGTGTTCTATTGCCAGAGAAACCAGCAGACCAGACCCAAATGACCTGTGATTGCTCAATACCTAAGATGAATCTCAGCTCTGAGCGCACATGGTCAGGAAGTAGGCAGTTCCTAGAAAAGGGGTCCCCTCAGTGCACATCTCAGAATGAAGCATGGTGACCTGAGATAAGCAGCGTGGGGGTCTTAGTAACAACCTTTTGCTCAGTTCCTGGTGTACAACTTAGTTCCTGGTATGAATCTTGCTTCATGTTAGACCACGTACTGCCATGAGGCAGAACAGACCTACGGGGGTCCCATGACTAGTGACCATTTAACTCACTCCGTGTTATGCAACTATACGACTCACCTCTTGGTGTGTAGCCACGTCATATCTGACCGTGTACAGCTGCCAATGCAAACCCACCCAGAACCTTGTAGAAACTGAAAGTGTATATGCACCCCTGACTTCCTACAAAAGGGGCTCAGCCTTTCGATGTGAATCCACTGAGTCAACACCAGTGCAATTAAACCTGCTTCTTGTTAGCCCTGGTATCCAACTTTACTTTGTGCCATATAACAAGATGAGTTCCTGGAGGCTGTTCCCCAGGGAGGAGGGCCAGTAATAACCAGAGAGGGTGACCAAGGACCCCAGTCAAGTCTCAGACATGTCCTGTGCTGCTGAACCACACAGTGGCCATTCTCCCCCTTCCCTCTCAGAAGTTTATTGTTCTGTTTATTCAAAACACTTGTGTTTAGGGGCTGTTGGGCATGGCTAAGCTTCTTGTTTGACTTTGGGTTGCTGGACCTTGAGAAGCAGTTCAGTGCAACTGAGCAGATTTTGTTTGTCCCAAGGGCCTGGAAGTCAATAGAAAAGAAATGGTGACACCTTCTCTGCTTCTTTGGGGACAAAGACTATACATCCCATTCTCCCGATAGTACCTTAGTGGTGGTGATGGTAGTGGTAATGTCGCCTCATACTGGAAGGGGCTTGTAAAATGCTGCCTAGGAGGAGCGTGTGTGTGTGTGTGTGTGTGTGTGTGTGTGTGTGAGATGTGATATGAAAGCCTTGGGTAAATGGACTGTTGGTTGCATTGTCCTTATTAAATAAAAGCCTTCAAGGGCTCCGCTGATGGCATAGGTGGTTGAGCGCAGCACTGTGAAGCTGTCTGCAGCCTCTGCAGTGCCGGTTCGATCCTGGCTGGCTGGCGAGGGTCAGCCAGCATGGCACAGCAGACCTCTCCTGTCTCGCCCACTGCTCCCTCAGCAATGTATTTTGTCAGTCTACCTGTTCTGTTCCCCGCTGTCTCTGGTGAATACCCTCACCCTCCCACGAATCTGGCCTGTACCCCAGTTCTTGTATAAATAAATTAATAAATCTTTTAAAAAAAAATAAATAAAAGCCATCAAGATGTAGGTCATGCGAAGCTCTATTTTGTCTGTATCAGATAAAAAAATCCTCACCAACCAGTGCTTCCACTATCACCTGTAAAAAGGTAGGGCCGATGAGACCAGAGAGGGAAGCTCATTAAAAATTAAATCAAAAAATAAAAAGTGAAAAAAGTTTCCTTTCTTAAAAAAAATTCCATTTCCAGGCCTCCCTGGTGGCGCAGGAGGTTGAGCACAGTGCTGTGAAGCTGTCCACAGCCTCTGCAGTGCCAGTATGATCCCCGCTGGCCATGGAGAAACCCACATGGCAAGCAGACCACTCCTGTCTCTCCCGCTGCTCCCCTCAGCAGTGTATTTCATCAGTCTGCCTGTTCTGTTCCCCGCTCTGTCTTTGGTGAATCCTCTCACCCCTCCCCCTGCACGTCTGGCCTGTACCCTGGTACTTGTATAAATAAATAAATCTTTAAAAAAAATTCCATTTCCTCCAAGGAACCACAGTTAACTTTTATATATGTATCCAAATATTTGCCTTGTGTGTATATATATATATATATATATATACACATACACACATATCATATATACACATATATACATATGTACACATATATGTAAACATATACACATATATACACACACACATATATATTGGATCCTTCCCGTAGGCCTAGATGTGAATTATCCTTTTTACTAATTGCAGAATATTCCATTGATGAGCATCTCAATCCTCTGATTAAATCTACTGATTTAATCCTTTACCGATGGTCGTTCCTATTTGTTTGCTATAAACCCTATTGCAAAGAACATCCTTGTGGCTACATCCTCCTGCCCTTCAGTGGTGTTGCTATAAAATAGATTCCTAGAAATGGAATCAGGATAAATGGGAGCTAAGTCAAGAATATACAATTTAGTGTTTCTTTAATAGCAAGTGTTTTTTGTTTTTTTTTTTTTAATCTTAAATTTTATTTTTATATTCCCCCATACAATTGCAAACGCCCCATTCTGACCCCAATCCTTCCCCTCCCGCCCCCACCCCCAAAAAGTGTCTCTGGTTCATAGTTTTTTGTTGATTTTGATTTTCACTTTCTTATATTCATTTTCCTGGTCCCTTATTTAAGTTTTCTAGATTCCTGCTATGAGTGAGACCATCCGGTATTTTTCTTTTTCTTTTTGGCTTATTTTGCTGAGCATGATCCCTTCCAGCGCCATCCATGTTGCTGCAAATTGCATGTGTTTATCTTTTTTGAATGCTGAGTAATATTCCATGGTATATATGTACCACATCTTCTTGATCCAGTCATCTACTTTTGGGCATTTGGGTTGTTTCCAAAGCTTAGCTATTGTAAACAGTGCTGCTATAAACATAGGGGTGCAGGTGCTCTTTGGAATTGATGTTTCTGTGTCCTTTGGGTAAATACCTAGGAGTGGAATTGCTGGATCATATGGAAGCTTTATCTTTAGTAGGCCAAGAAATCTCCACACAGCTCTCCATAGTGGTTGGACCAGTTTGCACTCCCACCAACAGTGCAGAAGAGTTCCTTTTTCTCCACATCCTCGCCAACATTTGCTGTTGCTAGTTTTTTTAATATGTGCCATTCTCACTGGTGTGAGATGGTATCTCATGGTAGTTTTGATTTGCATTTCCCTGATTGCAAGTGATGTTGAACATTTTTTCATATGTCTGTTGGCCATTTGCATTTCCTCTTCAGAGAAGTTTCTTTTTAGCTCTTCTGCCCATTTTTTGACTGGATTATTTTCTTTGTTGTTGCTAAGTCTCATCAGCTCTTTGCAGATTTTTGTGATCAGTCCTTTATCATTAGTGTTGGGTGCAAAAATGTTCTCCCAGTTGGTGGGGTTTCTCTTTGTTTTTGTTATTGTCTCTTTTGCTGTGCAGAAGCTCTCTTTAATAGCAAGTGTTTAATCGTACTCTAATTTTAGTATATGTGCTGCCGAAGCAAGCACTTTAATCGTACTCTAAATTAGATTTTGACCGCTGTAATTCTTAACTAACTGGATGCAAAAATTAGATTATTTTAAAGAAAATGAAATAATTAGGATTCATAAAAATTGATATATGTTTGGTTTTCACATGGGTCTTTTGAATTTCTCCCTCTGCAAAAAGGACTCTAGCTCAGTGTACATTTCAGGTAGTTACAACTATAACTCAGACAATGCATCTATTATATAACTCAGCTTTTACAGTAAAGGTACAGAGTCCTGCTCTACAGGACTCTGTAATGTTAGTCATTGAATTTGTGGAGCGTGGATTCTAGGGAAATGATGTGTAATATGCTGTTAGCACATGCAGGTATGCACTGCATTTGGAAAGAGTGTTGAATCCTATTGACTAATTCAGTGGTTCTTAGCTATTAACATGTGTGTGAAAGACATGATAAGCTTGATAAGGAATATCAATACCCAGGTCCAAAACTAAAGATTCTTATGTGAGTAGCTTATACAATCATTGCTTCTGATTTGAATACAAATGGATTGTGTTTTGGGAAATAACTTGGCTAGGGGCTAAGAGCACATAGTCTGTAGTTAACATCAAAATGTACGTGTGGAACTCAGTTTTACCATTTCTCTGCTGTGTGATTTTGGCCAAGATACTTAGCTTCTCTGATCCCCAGTTTACTCTTCTGTCAAATGAGGATATTAATAGGACCTAACCAGTATTATTCCATTGATAAGATTAAATGGATAATGCATAAAAAGAGTAAACTTCAATATGTTAGCAACTGTTATTAAGAAAACTTGAGCTATCATAAATCTGCACTGCTAATGTTCCTCCTAAAGGTATCCATTCAAATAATGAATTTCCCTAGAATCGTGTACATTATGGTCTGATTTATAAAATATTCATAATTTCAATGTTCTAGAACTGTGGCTCCTGTGTGGTAGCTGCCCTTCCATCTTTCCCAATTTCCCTCCATTTCTCATCTTACTATTCTTTGCCTGTCTTCCCTTTCAACCAGTGATTCTGATTTGCCCCCCAAACAAAACCAAACTCAATGCTGGTTTACTTTTTAAAAAAGCATCTTTATTATTTCTCCAGCCTGAATACAGCCCTGAATAGAAGCGTCCAATACATATTTGTCAGTCTGGTGGCTTTGGCATCAGGTCTGCTTAGAAAAAGCTAATGACAGTCACTCAATCAACCACTCACAGTGTGAGTGAAGGGGGAGGGGTGGTGAAGGTATCCTGAAATGTCTCAAAACAAACACAATATAGTATGACTGAAAATAAATTACAAAAATTAAATAGTATAAATAAGTTGAAATTTCAAGTTAAGAAGTTCCCAGAGTGTAGCTGTTTAGCAACAACCATTCCACAGAAGAGGTAGCTATGGAGGCTGAGGCCCCTGCTCCAATTGCCCAATTGAGGTCACTGGGTTTCTCAAAGCTTCCAGGCCACTCAGGCATTCAGCTCCTCGTCCATGATGTATTCCTGCACCCAGCCATCACTGGGGTTGGCACAGACCTCCCGGTTCTTTTTTGTTTGGAAGCTGTGGAGAAGGGCAGAAGGATTACACATGGAGAAATCCAGCAGGGAATTCTGGGCACACTGTAACCCCTCCACCCCACTCTGTCCTGGGCAGTTCAGGGCCTGCTTGCTTTCTCAGGAGTCCTCTGCCTATCTCAGTGACTCCTAGGCTTCCTCAAAGGATCTTTCTGTTCCCTCCTCCTTCCCCTCTCTCCCTTCTATGCTGGACCAGATGCCTGATTCTGCAAGCCCCTGGGTGGGTCACATCAGAGGCCTGGATCCTGCGTACTTGATAGGCTTGGAAGGTTGGGCCTTTCCAGGATAGTGCCACTAGCCTGTCTGTGCCCTTGGGTGCTGTCCACACTCCAGGCCCTCCCTCTGTCCCAGAGGTGGGCAGGAGGACTGGCACTTACATGACACCGGGCTTGGAGCACTGGCTGCTGGTCTCAAAATAGTCGACTATGAATTTGCGTGGAATCTGCCGAAGGGCATAGGAGAAGCAGCATGCGGTCGGGGTGTCAGCACCAACTGTAGAGGAAGCGACAGAATGAACCTGAGTCATAGGTAAGAAGAAAAAGCAAGGTCTGAGATCTGATCCCCAAGAGTTGAAGAAGATGCATAGGAAGACATCCTTGCTCAGGGAGTGGGCAGAGAGACAAGGTCGTTGGAGGGCATGGGACATTTTTGTCTAGAAATATCCATTTCTCTCCTTGTTTCTCTGTTTCCTCTTTCTCTTTCTCTCTGTGACCCAGACATCCAAGAAGACTATTCTCTTACGTCACCTCCCTGCAGGAAAGGGAGACTTTCTGCAGCGGAAGACCAACCTTGGACAGTTCTCCTAAACTAGCTGAGAGACAGAGTTCTGGGGGGACCCAGGGTGAGTTAGTGGGAGCAACCAGCCTTGGAGTCTGTCTCTTGTAAATGCATTTGTTTAGGTGCCTATTTTGTCATTCATAAAATTGGGTTGTAACTCCCTCACCCCATTCTGAAATCTGAGGACAAGGATAGCTCAGACCCCTTTATCAAGGTGGAAAGTAAAGGAGAAATGAAAGAGACAGGCCAAGGCATTTGGGCTCTCAGACAAATAGGAAAGGCTGGTGAGGTTTGACTGTGGCCACACCAACAGCATAGACTTACGTGGTGCTGAGAAGACCTGGCTGCAGAGGGCCATGGTGCAGAGCAGGAGGGCGATGGCAGCTCCGGTGACCTTCATGGTGCTCAGTCAGTGGAGTGTGGGCTCTAGTGCTGGTGGAGACAAACCCAGGCCGGGTCTGTGCTGTGCTGGCGTCCTGCTGGAGTGAGAAGCCTCCTCCCCTGCTTTATATAGGCAGTCCTGATGGCTGGGGAAATGGAATCTGGGGGTGAGAAGGGAAAATTTTAAGCATAGGGGCACCGTCATGCTGAGTGTTGCACAACTCGGGGGTTCAGGCAACCACAGGGGCTGAGGATATCCAAGAATAGCTTCTCTGAGCTCTAAGTCTCAGCCCACAACTCATGACTTGTTCTGGCTTTTTGTGAGGAAATGGTTTCCCCTGTGAGAAGTGGAAGGGGGCATGTGGGTGACCCAGACTATTCTTAGGCAGTCTTTTCTCATAAGAACTGGTCTGTACATGAACTCTGCAACCCCGCTTCTTTCCACCCCACTGAAGCTTCTGGGCTTCCTCAGTGCTCTAACCCTGTGGCGCAAGCCTCCCCTGAGTGCAGGGAACTGAATGGAGGAATCCCTGCTAGAGCAGCCGAAGCATGAGACCACATTTCCTTTATTTGTGCAGTCATCAAACAGTCACTGAGTGACCAGGGCTCTTGGGTTAAACACTACTTGAGGATCATAGCAATTCATTAGACATGGGTATTAATAAGTCAGGAGCATAAAAATATATGTACCCATTAATCGAGACAGCACATTTACAGGAAAGAGTTCTAAAGAAACACCCAAATATGGAGGCATCTTCAACATAAGGACATCTGACCCAGTATCATCTATAACTATAGACTCAACAAACCTAAAATGCCCTGTATCAGGGAATAATAAAATAAATGATATGGGTTATGAATAAAGTAGCATAATCAAATATCAGTTGGAAAACAAAGATGGAAAACAATGTATGTATATGCATGTGTATGTATATATATGACAAATATTGTAACCACAAACAAATATGTGTGTATATATGCACACACAAATATATATATATATTTTATTTTTTTTCCCACCCCACTGGAAAAAAATATATATATTTTCCCACCCTGCTGGAAAAAAAAAATAAATGCTAGGCATGGAAAAATATAAGAGGCATTGGCAAACTAAATGCCCCAAACATCCCTAGTAGTTTTATTTGTGTGATGCATGGGTGATTAATTTTCTTGTTTTCCTCATTTTTTTTAAAGTGAGATGTATTGCCTTCATGAATAGCCTTCAAATTTAGGAACACATTGTGTATTAAAACATTTATATCACCAATCAGAAAGTTGGCTATTGTTACTGTTTAATTTGAAAGAAATTTTTGATAAAAAGTACTAAAGTTTCAGTCTAATGGTCTTTGCTAAAATGAAGTTTTGATTTTCATTTCTCTGAACTATTTTTAGGAACCTGTGAGATAGTTACATAAATAGTGCCCTATGCAAAGCCATTTCCTTATTTCTCAATTCATAATTTTGGTGGTATGAAAGGGTCTACTTTCTCAGATCTACATGTTTATTTTCATCCTTAATTTTTATTGTTATGTAATTAATAAGAACATGTCACATTTTATAACTAGCAATAGATTTCCTTCTTTTTAATGTTCTTTGTCCTCTGGATGCCCAGCTGTGGGCATCCAGGTAGACTGCATAAACTTGTAGCTGCAGCCTTTAGCAAAATGTGCTCAAATTTCTTTTTTTTTTTTTTAAAGATTTATTTATTTTTTATACAAGCACTGGGTACAGGCAGAAGCGTGGGAGGGTGAGAGAATTCACCAGAGCCAGAGCGGGGAACAGAACAGGCAGACTGACGAAGAACACTGCTGAGGGGAGCAGCAAGCGTGGCAGGAGAGGTCTGCGCGCCCTGTGGGACCCTTGCCAGGAGACCGGGGATGGATCCGGCGCTACAGAGGCCGCTGGCAGCTTCGCAACCCAGCGCTCAACCGCTGCGCCACTGGGGAGGCCCAAGTGCTCAAATTTCTAGGAGAAAAATAAATGAAAGCTCAGAATGCCACGAGGAAGGAGCAGTGCCCTCCCTCCCGTCCTAGGAGGGGTAGGGGAGGGCTTCTCAAAAGGATGGAACTTTGGTAGGGACTGGAAAACTTCACCACAGTTGAGCATGAGCACATAAGAATGAAGAGGCTCGGGCCTCTCCTGGTGGCGCAGCGGTTGAGCGCTGGTTGCGAGGCTGCCTGCAGCCTCTGCAGCGCCAGTTCGATCCCCGGCCACCAGCGAGGGTCCCACAAAAAAAAAAAAAAAAAAAAAAAAAAGAATGAAGAGGCTGAATTGGGGGCAAACCAGGACTTTGACTTTCCTCTAAAAGGGTTAGAACAAGAGAGGAAATAAGACAAGACAAGCAAGACCACACCTTAGGAATCCTGTCCTTCTCTTAAAACACGGGGCTCCTTTTCCAGCCCATCTCTGTGATGTAATGCTGTGTGTAATGCTGGTCGAGAGGTTGAGGGGGAAGTAAAGGCAAGATCGGGGGAATGGCAAGTTCACTGAGGTTTTAGCATCCAGATCTCTTCCCTTGTTACTGTCAATTCCAAATCAAGGAATATTTATCGCTTGTTTCACTGGAAACTCTATACTACAGACAATGTCTCCTCTCCGCACTCCCTCTGCCCCGACCTAGAACTTACATTCTTTCATTCATTTGTTGGGGAACCCCCTTCACACTCATGAGTCAGTTACTGAGAGTTTGGGGAGAGTGAGAAAAGGAAGTGGAAACTGCTGAAGCAAGTGCTTTTCTGATAATGGACCACTGTGAATCCACCGTAATATTCTCATTGGTTATTGCTGTCATTTTTCTTCAAATATTTGGTCCTGTTGGTTTTACACCATTTCTATTTGGTTGATTTAAACCAAATCCTAGCACACGATGACTATAACATGATGAATTATCTGACACAGACACTATTTCTTGTAACTGTTCTTTTTCTGTAAAGGTGCTTTACTGAACATGAAATTCTATCATAGTATTTATATATTTGTAAAACTTTTCAATTCCAAACTACATCTTAGCCTTTGTTATATGTGTTTTTTACTTGGATTGGAAAATAACAGACTTGTTTGCAAAGTATGGGCTTAATATGCCAATGTCGAATGATTAATGTAAGGGAGTCTTAGGGAGGTGGCGTTGGTTGAGAAGGTTCTTGGAAATTTCCCAGGTGGTAAACTGATGTTCCGGGACACTAAATGTCCTGCCAACCAGGTTCTTGCTCAGAGTACATCAGCCTCTGTCTTTCTCTCTGTTTTAAAACCCTTCAAGAACTGCGTTGTTCCCAGAATGAAATGGACACTTCTCTGTAGCCTGATCCCTGCCTCCCTCTTTGGCCTCATTCATCTCTTGCCACATTCAGACATCCTGGAAACCAAGAGTCAGCCCTCCCAACTACATGTAATTCCTTAAAAGTGCAGGTTCTCTTTTCTGCTTTCTATGAATGAGGTGTCAGTTTGGAAGAGCACAATTTCCCTTTCCTGGAATTCACAGGGTAGCATTAAATGCTGTAACCCTGGATATAACTTATGACAGCGCAGCAATTCCTTAGGAATCTTTTCTAAGAAAAAGAGAGAAAACCATGGATTCTACTTTTCAAAGACATGCAAAATGCAAAATTGAAAGACATTTTACATCAGAATAACAGAACTTTGGCTGTTAAGCTTTTTTTCTTAAAGATTTTTTTATTTATTTATGCAAGAGCCGGGGCAAAGGCCAGATGCCCAGGAGGTTGAGAGGATTCACCAGAGACAGAGTGGGGAACAGAACAGGCAGACTGACTGAAATACACTGCTGAGGGGAGCAGCAGGGGAGACAGGAGAGGTCTGGGCGTCTCAAGTATCAATTTTTAATAAAGAAAAATTAGAATGACCTGAATGGACTGACATAAGTCACCAATGGTTAAATACAAATTTTAGTATAAAATATTGGCATATCCATGCAATAAAATACTATCCATGCAATTAAGTGGAAAAAAAAAAAACCTATCCCATATGATGGGAATAACTGAAAAGAAACAAAGCTGGTTGACAGGACACTTAGAATTGTCCTGGTAACAAATTTTGGTCATAATGACCTGGAAGGATATTAAGTAATAAAAATAGTAAGATATATTAGTCCAAAAAAGATTGTTTAGTAACTAGTAAAATATGAAACAATCTACAGAATGCTTGGTAATTTTTGTTTTCTTATTTAAACCTTCGTATGTTTTCTAAATTTTGTAGAATGACCATATGTACTTTTTATTAAGAAAAAACAAATGAATATAATTGGTTTTTAAAGATCAGACATCACATTCTTGACATTTCCCGACAACCTTCCAAAATCTGACACAGTGCCTGTCACATGACAGTTACTCCATATTAAGTTTTACAGTATTATTTTCTTCTCTTGCTGGCTATCCCCTGTGACCAGCCTAGAAAGAGCCAGAAATAGGTATAAGCATACTGAAGGAAGATAGCTGCTTCACAGGGAATGCGAAAAGGTTTTTTGAACCTACCAATTGCTGGTGAGACTTTAACCCTCCCTCAGGAATTAGCATCCTCTGCCCTCTGCAGCCAAAGAGCAGGCTATGGCAAGCGATGAAGGCCCATTCCCCCTCTAAGAAGACTGGGACTGGCTCAGGCATATTGGTGATGAACTGATGAACAGCTCCCACCAGCTCACTGCCCTCCAGACTCCATCAGGAACCCTGCATTTATTTTTGTTTCTTCGACCTACAATCCAATTTCTGCTCCACTTCCCCCAAGTTTCTTGCTTCCATATTGACAAGACCAAAGAATTTACCTTTTTTCTATTATTTTGGCAAAACAACCACATGTTCCTGCTCATCTTGGTTGTCCAGTCTCAACATTTACTTGCAAGAAATGCTCAAACTTAGTTCCAGAACTTCCTCTTAGATGCTTATGCTTTTGGTCCCAACACCTAATGGTCTTCCCAAAACTCACGCAAACTCAGCAGTTTTGTATGTCTTCTGAGACTCTGATATCTTCAGAGACCCTACATGTGCAATCTCAGATGCTCACACTTGGAAGTTTGTCATCACTAGACTAAGTGCTGAATGACCTTGGGTCTTGGCTCGCATCCTGTGTAACCTTGACCAAGTTCTTTAACTTCCTTAGGCTTTTCTTTCTAATCTGTACAACGGAAAAACAGATTGAAATCAGATAAAACCATGGATGTGGATATGCTGGGGGAAAGAAAAAGTACCAGGACCTTTGTCAGCTTATATTTTTGCTGTAGATGCAGATTCTGCCTGCAGTGAGAGAGGGAAAGTGAAGGATTTCTCTCCTATCAAGTAAGGGGTGGTACATAGAATGCATACAGAGCCCTTGAAACAAATGTTTGCTGTCACTCCTTTAGTGGAAAGAGTCAAGTTCCTCAAAAAGTCTTCCTTATAACAAAACTATTGAGTGTGTGGGTTGAGGGCAAGAGGCAGGAAGGAATTACCACCCCTTTAGGAAAGGGGAATTATATTTTGAGTAGAATGTCAGAATTCCCAGTTCATTCTTATGTCATTTAGCTAAATGAAGTTCATGAGTTCATCTCCTGAGTCCATGTTACCTATTATGTTCCATTATGATTAGTAGTTGGGCTACCTGTGGATCCTTATTGAACAAGTGTTTATGGAGCGTGTGCTGTGTACACAGAGATAGCAGCATCATGCAACTTCTACATCAAGAAGTTTACATTATAGAGGGAGAGATAACCAAATAGGTAGAAATATTATAGGTGAAAAGATGGAAGTAACTCTGGACTCTAGGAGCACAATGAGAAATAAAGAATTTAATTGAAAGAGAGATCAGGGAAGGCTCTCTAGAGATGAGAACTTTTTTGTCATGTATTTGAGAGGCATTTATTATCCTCTATCAACTATTGCTTAGCAATGGCCTCAGCATACAAACTTTGGAAATAATAAATTTGGCTAAATATAGTGACACAATTCCTCTGTACTTTTTCACTGTTGTGTACACAGCATTATTGTTGGGAACCTTCATGAATAAAACATTTTACCTCCCTGAGTCAAAGATCAAGTCAAGGGCAGGAGGCAAAAATCAACAGTCAAGTTCATTGTGTGCCTAATTGCAGATTAATCAACTGTTCTTCTCTATCATCATTCTGATGCCCCAGACAGGTATTTTCATAATCCCTCTAGAACTCGAAGTTCTGCATGCCCCCCTCATTTCGAAAGAGATTGCCATGTCAAGGGCTCCCCTCCTTAGCATACAATTTGACTTAACTTGGAATTATCTGTAACCTCCTCCATCCTTTGGGTTCTCTGACATTTTGTTCCTATCTTTGACTTGACACTTACCTAGTTCCAACTTGTGGGATAGATATTTCTGTCATTGTCATCTCCATGAAGAAGTCTTTGAGTTTAGGGAGAGGGCATCTTTCAACTCTGTATTCCTGTCCAAGAGCAGGTGACTACTAAGTTGGGTTGAATGGAAATGACATGGAGAACACAGTCAGTGTAGATCCCAAGGCACACAAGACACACCCCCTTCCCTTACAGCAAGGTCCTTGTGCATGAAGAAAAAACACCACAACCAGGAGAGAAACTACCATATATGATTTCAGGGATCATAAACTGTTAGAACTGGAGGTGGGGGGGGGTCTTACTGAAGATCAGGACATTTGAAGTAAGGCTCACATAAAAAAAATGATGAAGAAAGGAAGAAAGGAGTACAATGCGCGTGAATGGAGTGATATTGTACTTTATTTAGTGACTCTGTGGACCTAAGATGCTGCTCTGGCCCCTCTAATCCCACATCACAACATCCAGGAAGTCTGACTTTCCCTTTTCCCTTTCATTCCTCTTTCTCATCGAGGAGGCAGGGAGCGCCATTGGTCAAAGGGTAAGCAGGTGGGTCAGAGGGATCGAGCTGAAGTTGGACAGACTTGATTCAGCCATCCAAAGTGCTCTGCCTTGTCCCACTTCATGAACTAATGTGTTTCCTGGCCTTTGTAAGCTTCACCTAGTTACCTTGAGGTCAGCAGCAGTTGCTGAACCAGGTAGGGCTTTCCTTGAACACACAGAATCCCCGATGGACTGGCTGGGAAACACCCACGTGTTTAGATCACATATTTTATCTCTTGCATAGGTCAACTCATTGCTAGGTGTCCAAATCTTTTTTTTTTTTTAATACTAGAGGAACATTCTTTATCTGGGCCTTCCAAACTTGACTCTTGCTGATTTCATTTTCCTTTTCTATTATTGGCCCAAGTGAACTTGGTTCCAGGACAGTCTGACTCAAACGCCTCTTCTAAATTTAGTTCTAATAAGATGGATCCTTCTGTGTTGCGTAGTAGCTATTGGTCAATAGTTTCACTTTAGTGGTCACATTATACATTGGCTTTGGAGATGAATGGGTGGAAAGAAAATAAATTTCACTGTCGAATGCAATTCTGTTCACCTCTTGGCACTGCCACACAGCAGCTGAAGACTGGAGATTATCAATGATCTCTGCTCTGCTCTCGGCTCCCCTTCCCGCCTTGAGAATAACCATGCCTTTGCTTGGGATTATGCTATGATCAGATGTCAGTGATGCTCTGTGTCTGGCACAGAGCTGCACACAGCAGCTTGCTCTGTGTCTGGCACATAGTAAATGTTCCATAGGTAGACATGATAAATGTTCCTGAGTTGTCCTGCTGGGACCTTCTGCACACCCAATGCTGGGCCCTTTCTTTATGCCCAAGGAAACATAAGGATGCCAGAGCCACTCTCAGCACAGCAGAAAGAGGCCCAGGAATGGGACATGAAGTCCTGACTTCTCCTTCCTTCTTGGGGCCAGGCTTGAGGCCACCCTGGAAAGAATGACATATAAACATGAAGCCTCTGGCTTCTGGAGGTGCCAGCCACACACAGCAGCATAATTCACACCTAAACGTGCCTTCTGGCAGATGTAGATGTTCTGTCTTTCCTCTTGGGTTTGCAATTCTCTCCCCAGTTTCGGTCACTGTCTCTGGTGTACCACTTCCCTCTAGAGTGCAGCCCACTTCTTCTTCCTTCCTCCTCCCTCCACTTTCCTCTCTGATGACACAGACAGAACTCCTCACTCTCAACTAGCTTTAGTTTCTTTGTCCATGTTTCCATGACATCATCTCTAGCCTGGAAATTCCACTTGCCCTGCCGGGACCCAACCTCTGGCCCAGGTCTCAGAGCTCCTATAAAATGGGGCTCCCAACTCAGTACTGGCACAGAGCACAGTTGCGTTCTGAAGCTTCTAGGTTCTCTAGTCTGAGCTCCAGGAAAGCCTCTTTTCTGCCAAGACCATGAAGCTCTACGTGTCTGCCCTCTCTCTGCTCGTGCTCCTGGCTGCCTTCTGCTCTCCAGCACTCTCAGCACCAAGTAAGTCCACTTTGCCAGCTGTTTCTTCTAGAGTCACAGTGTAGGCAGTGTCTGTGTTTCTCATTAGGGGTGATACAAAGGGTGGCATCTGGGAATGGGACAAAAGGGAGCTGGGAAAAGTGCCAAGTAATATACTGTTCAGTGTAGTCTAGTAGACTTTCAGCAATATCCAAGTTGTTTCTTAAGAAACAGCAATCAGTAGACTTTTAAAAGCAAGTCTATTGTTATCTATGCCTGATTTCCCCATCTGTAAAATGAAAGGAATTAGACATGTGCTCTGAGGACCAATCAAGCTCCAATATTCTAGAATTCCTTCATGATCTTCTCTTAGGATCTTCTATTCAGAATAAGACTCCTACTCAGGGTGGGTGTGGTTGGATATAGGCATCACATTTGGGGATCTGGTGGTTGCACTGGGCTGTCCAGTGAACACTGATAAATAGAAGGAACAACTCCCGGCAGAGCTTCCATCTCATCCCAGCCTTTCCTTCCAGTGGGCTCAGACCCGCCTACATCCTGCTGCTTCTCTTACATCTCACGGAAACTTAATCGCAACTTTGTGGTGGATTACTACGAGACCAGCAGCCTCTGCTCCCAGCCAGCTGTGGTGTGAGTATCAACCCAGGTGCTCTGGGAGGCAAGGGTGAGGGCAGGATCAGGAAAGGGAGCCTCTTGGTGGGGAGATGTGGGTCAAACCGTCAGGAAGCGGGTCTCAGGACTGTAGCCCTCTAACAAAGCAGCAAGGAACAGGTCGCCTGTTGAGTCCTGAAGGGGGTGGGGCGGGATACAAGGAAGGAACATTGATTTATGGGGAGGAAGTTCGTTTGAAGTCAGGAACCCTGGAAGGTCAAAAAAAATTACAGGACAAGTGGGCTGATTTCTTAAATCAGGCTTCGACATGCACATGGAAAAATCATTGCTAGGAGGAGCAGGGAATGGGGAGATACGCCAAATTGATGGAGGACTCATTGGCCCTTCATCTGTGCAACTCTGGATGAGCTAGATCCGGGGTGGAGTTACAGGGAACCCAGTTCCAGCACCACCCCAGGGAGAGTCTTTCCATGCACTAACGCTATCCAGCATGAAGCGTGGCCAAGCAGAGGGAGATGGCTACCACAGGCAAGGGGCATTACCAGATGCCCTACCAGGTTCCGTGGATTCTAATCTGTCTACCCATCCCACAGGTTCCTGACCAAAAGGGGCAAGCAACTCTGCGCCAACCCCACTGAGCCCTGGGTCCAGGAGTATGTCAGTGACCTGGAACTGAACTGAGCCACTCTGGGCTGGAAGCCAAGGGTCTCCAGGGAAGGTCATCTGAACCCGAAGCCGGTCAGCAAGATGGCCCCTCCCCTGTAGTCCTCGTTCCTTCTCTTAATTTAATCTCCATTGTGTGTTGTATTATCCTATTGGATGTTGTTTCCATTATTTATGTTCATTTTGCCAAAGGACACATGTCCCCCAAGGGGATGGTCCACCGTCACCGTTTCTCTGTTGTAGAGGAGACATGGATAATGTAGTTGATGCCAAATGTTTTCATAATAAAAGTTTTAAAAAATGTAGACTGTTTCTTTGTGTTTTGATTTGGGGTGAAGGGAATTGCCTGCTGTTCTTAATAGGGACAAATGACAGTTTCCAAAAGCAGTAAGAATGAGTAATTACTGAGGACCTCATCTCTGCGCTCAGATAAATGCTCTACAGACAGAATCTGCCTTAATCCTTTCAACAGGAGTTTATCACCCTATTGAAGCAGGGTGTTACCCCCAATTTTACAGATGAGGAAACAGGCATGAGGAGGTGACATGACTTTCAAGGCTTGCAGGTCGGCTTGGGGAACACCATGAAAGGGTGATGCGAAGAATAGCTGTGATGCTAAGAGCTCCACTTCAGCATCTTGCGGGGAAGTTGTAAATAGCAGCAGCAGCAGCATAATACAGTGGGGAACTGAAGCAGTCCAGCGTCAGAAAAGTGGGGCTCCATCACTTATTTTCAGAGTATCTCTAGGAATGTCATGTTGCCTTACTGGACCTCAACCTCCACGCCTGTGAAAGGAGGTTATATTGTCCACTTTGAAGGGCTGTTGTGAGGTGCTGTGTGTCAGGAGCCTGCCATCAGGAAGAGTCTTTCTCTTGGAATCTCAGTTCTTTCATTCAAATGAACAGAGTGTCTCTTCTCCCAGAGTCGTCATGTGGATTAGATTAGGGATTGGATCAGCTCCTTAAAGCCCCAAGCAAGTGTGAAGTGTCCTGAGAACAGAAAGTGAATATCAGATGGGGGTCTAGGTAGCTGCAGGAGTGACTTAAAGCCATGTCTCCATCATAATCCTTCCATCAGAACTTCCTATTATGTGGGTCAGAGACACTTGGCTCTGAAATAGAATTACACGCACAATCAAGCCTTGACATACAATGGTGGTCTGTGAAAGCTAGGAAAAACCTCTCAGGCCATCTGATCCTTTCCTCTCGTTTTAGGGAAACAGAGGGCCAGGGACTGAGCAGTGACTTGTAACCAGCTGCCTAGTGAGTGTGTGTGATGGAGCAGGACTCCAGCCCGTGCAACTAACAGGTTAGCCCCCTATCTGTGCTGTGTCTGTGTCCCACAAGGGATGACCCTGTGTGCACATAGTGTACAAAAGGATCTACCTTCATATTGTTTGAGTGTCTTAGTCCAATGCAAAAACAGAACTGGAATATTATACCTTTCTGGGGCCAACTGACCCAATTCCCTTCCTTGTCCTGCCCTCAGGCACCCATATTGACCCAGAACCTGCAAAGAAACCTCTTTCAGATTCTGCAGGAACTGAGAGAAGGAGGTTGAGAGGAGACTAACAGCAAAAACCTGCCTGGTTTTACCTTCTGCTTTTCATCTGCCAGGATTAGAGCTGCCAAATACATTTGCCACTAGCCTCAAGTATTTAAATTTCAATGAAGTAATTAAAATTAAATTCCTCTGTTGCACTAAACCACATTTCCAGTGCTTGCTAGCCACAGGTGGGCACTGCGGATATAGAACATGGCCTTCAACACAGAAAGTTGCATTGGACAGCACCGTCTTAGAATATTCTCAGAGCCCACATGGAGTAAAAAGACGGGCAGCTGGGGTGGCCTGGAAGGTTAGGGTCTGGACTTTGGAGAAAGATAAACAACCCTGAGGGAAGGGGTTATGAAAGCTAATGGATCATCCTCAGGCCTGATACAAGGTCAGGGCACCATGGTGGGTGAATAATGGTCCCCACAATGTCCGCATCCTAATTTCCAGAGTCAGTGAGTTTTACCTTATACAGCAAAATGAACTTTCTAGATGTGATCAAGTTCAGGATCTTGAGATGGAGAGATTATCCTGGACTCTCTGATGGGGCCCAAAATGTAGTCATAAGTGGGGGCCGGGGAGGCAGAGGAAGATTCAACTACAGACGCAAAGAAGGCAATGTGAGAACTGAAGTGAGATGCTATGTGCCTGGCTTTGAAGCTGGGGGATGAGGCCACAAGCCAAGTAATGCAGGACTCAGCTCTAGAAGCTCTAAAAGTTGGAAAATTCAAGGAAATGGTGTCTCCCCTAGAGTCTCCAAGAGAAGCACAGCCCCGTTGACACTTTGACTCCAGCCCAGTGAAGCAGATACTGAACTTCCAGCCTCCAGAATGTTAAGACAATAGACGGGGCCTCCCCGGTGGCGCAGCGGTTGAGCGCTGGGTTGCGAAGCTGCCTGCAGCCTCTGCAGCACTGGTTCGATCCCCGGCTGCTCCCCGGCCACCTGAGGAGGGTCCCACATGGCGCACAGACCTCTCCTGCTGCCCGCTGCTCCCCTCAGCAGTGTACTTCGGTCCTTCTGCCTGCTCTGCTCGCCGCTCTGGCTCTGGTGAATTCTCTCACCCTCCCGCGCTTCTGACTGTACCCAGTGCTTGTATGAAAAAATAAATAAATCTTAAAAAAAAAAAAAAAGACAATAGACGTATGTTTTTTAGGACGCCAACCCTGAGGTAATTTGTCACAGTAGCAATGGGAAACTAATGTAATCACCAACTGAAGAGTGACTGACAGTGACGCCCTACAGCTCGCTGAGGAAGGGAATGGGGCATTCTAAAGGGTGCGACAACTTCCCAGCAGGAGAAACTCAGGGTGCAGTGGACACTCTCCAAGGGGATGGGCTATAATGAGGGGGGGCATCTGGGAGGAAGGTCTGCTTCAGCAGCTGAATATGAGGGTTGAGGCTTTATGAAGGGCACAAAACCCACCAGCCAGGATGAGAGGAAGCTTTCCTCTTCTGAGGACTCCTGTGGAGGGCCAGGGTGTGGAGGAGGGTCTGGGGTTCCTGTCCAGAGGAGTCCATTCTCTCATCTGTCATATGAAGCCCAGAGCTGAGCCATGACTTGTTTCTGGCCTCATTATTAGAGAGAGAGCAGGGTCAGGACAAGAATTTGGGTCTCCTCCCTCACAGCACAATCCTTTCCCCGCCCCTCCCTACCCGTGAGCACATTGGAAGGGAGGAACTCCCCTCCACAGAGGCTGCATCTCCAGGGAAAGCTGCAGGACCCGACTGTCCTCCTGAAGAAGGGCTTCTCCCAGAAATGACGAATGACAGCTTGGAATCCTCGTGGTAGGGTAATATGGGACTTGACCTGTTGCATAATATGAGACCTTGCTTTCTTCCTTTCTCTTTTCCTCAAACTTCCCTTTCTTACTGGAGCAGGGAGCTGGTATCTGCTTACTTCACTTTCCTGCTGAGGTTTCTCCAGGTTGCTGGGTGGGACTGGAGCCAGAGCAGACTAGGCAGGGCAGGGGACCAGCTACTGTTCATGGGTAACTCCTGGGACCAGGCCTGTGTTTCTCTGCTCTCCTGCACACCGGCCTCCCTTGGCCCCTCTCCAGAGGGGAGCAAGTCTGTTTCCTCTTGCATGGTTTCATGAGAACTTTGTCTCCGAGTCCCATCCCCACCAGACCTTCTGTAAGATTCCTGACTTAGCATTTTCCTCGCTGCCGTTGATGGCTAGGAGCTGAGCCAGCAGAAGCAGGGGTCAAGCATGTGAGTGGGCTGAGGATGGTGAAAGAAGGCACAGTTCTTCTTGCATCAGGCCCAGCGGCCCTGACCATCCTGGGCTGCTTTGCTCTCACCCTTCTCAGCCTGGTTCTCATCCTCTCTCTTCTAGTCACCGCCTGTTCTCCCTTTCCACTCCTGCTCCTTGGGTGCTCGTGGAAGCTCAGAAGACAGGGAACTGAAAAATGACATAGGAATTGAGAGACAACATTATGACTGCATTTTAAAACTTAAAGTAGCTTCATTTTTAGATATATAATAACTGTGTAAAATATATACATTCAGAAGAAAACAGAAAATCACAATTTTTTTTTTTTTTTCAGAGAAAGACAGGCTTAATATCCCAACAAGCATGGTCAAGAGGACTCCCTCTTTCTGTGAAAACGCATCCAAAGGGGAGAAGAGCACCAGTGCAGGATATTGTATTAGTTGCTTCCGAACCTCAGGGCCCAGGTCCCTTGGCTCCCCAGGAAGACCCCATGTTGTTTCCTCCCTCGTCTGTTCTGTATTGCTGATGGCTGCTGCGGACATCTGGCCCTTTCAAATGGTAATGTCATAAGGACTTGCCAAACCCCCACATTTATGATTGTCACCAGAGCACTAGAAATCCGCTTTTGGTGGGGACATTCATTTGGTTTGGTTTTTCACAAAAAAGGAAAGGTTTCGTCGGACAGGTGAGTGTTGCTTATTTCCATGTGCACAAAAAGCACCTGGGGAGCTTTCTCTGGACCCTCCCTGGAGACATCCTACCCCTGGAGACTCCGCATGGGTCTGAGATGGAATTGAAGTATTTGCCAGGTGCAGACTCTCTCTGAGCCTCAGTTTCTTCATTGGGGACGTGACTGAAGCCAGTGAAAGTGAGGGCACAAGCTCCCGCAGACCACAGGTACAAGGACAACACCTGATGTGCTTAATAAAGGTCAAGCGTCCTCATTATTATTGAAGACAGCTCCTCCTTAGCCAGCTTGCAGCTCCCATGTTGAAATGCTGTGCCAACAAAATGATGACAGGTCATAATGATCCTTTGCTTTATCCCAGAAACTGCAAAGGCCTGAGCAGCGAGCACCCGATTATATTGTCTTATATAATTTCTGCTAATTCCTTCTCCTTGTGTAACTGTGCTGAGTCAGCTTTGCATACTTCCCATTGAGATACTTCCCAAGGGGAGTGTGCGAATATACAGCTTGAAATATTCCATTAAAAATTTACTTAGGGAAGTAAGGTTACAAATGTATTGGATCAGGTGAGAATCCATGTCGCCTCACTATGGGGAGGGAGACTATTTGCTTTTGGGGAAAGTTGGCAATGTCTTCCAACTCTGTAGTGTACACACCTTTGTGTTTCCATGTTCAGGCATCTATCCTGGAAAAAAATGACCTGCATAAACCAAGAAGTATGCACAAGGTGGATGAGGCATATACACAGCAAATGATTTATGGTAGCAAACAAAAACAAAGGCAAGAACAAAAAGGAACCACCTCAATGTTAACAGTTGGAGTTTGGTTAAAT